GCCAATACATTTGGGAAATACAAAACTTTCCCTTCTAAGAGAGTCATAATTCATGTTAATCTATTAAAAACCTCAAGAAGTTATGCCTTAAAGCAATGGGCCCCAACCTTTGGGCCCCAGACCAGCACAGTTTGGTTGCCTGTTAGGAACCTGGCCGCACAGCAGGAAGGTGAGTGGCAGGCATGATGATCTGAAGTGGAGCAGTTTCATCGCCAAACCATCCCCTCAGCCTGCTCCCATGGAAACATTGTCTTCCATGAAACCAGTCCCTGATGCCAAAAAGATTGAGGACCACTGCCTTAAAGGAACATGTTTGTCTTTTGTTAACCCTGTATTTCCCCAAATTACTTGATCATACTAGAAAATAAGCCCTCTAAGGGATAATATTTGACACTGTTTCTCCCCCTTGTATCTCTTCTTCTCCTTCTACACTCCCCTCAGCCCCTTCCCCAGATCTATCTCATTTCCAGCACTCAGAAGGTATCCAGTAAAATACATTTTGGGTAGAACTGCAATCCAGATCACTGAAAGAACACCCTCTGCAGAGGCCTGAGATGGATTGCTCTTCTGTTCTCCTGGACTTTTACACAGGGAAGATACTGCCAGACAGAAGGAAGAACTTTCTGGCATTGAGTGGAGTAATTTAGGAGAATGGTTAGACTAGAAAAGTTATAGAATCCCATTTTCTGTATCCTTAACAACCAGAACATAGAAGCAGAGAAAAGAATAAGATGACCTTGGTGGACACTTTCCTGCCTGGAGAAAGTTCAGAAAATCTGTGGTGAGTTAAACCACTGCTCTCTCCCCTACAATTCTAGCCACTCTCTCTTTCTACTTTTGAGCCTTTGGGATAGGAAGGAGACAAATTCACTCAAACTCCCACATCAGCATTTTGGAGGAACAGACTCCTAGAAAAAACCAAAACAACCAAACCAAACCAAACAAAAACGGCATTTGCAAACCCCAGGATCTGAGAAAGAAGAAGGTTGAGAGCTGAAATGGAGGCAGATGATTTGCATCTGGGCCTGGGTAGAGGGGCCCAGCTGCTCGACCCAGAGCACTGGCTCTGAGCAGCAGCTTCTCTGTCTTGGTACAGTCTCTATGGACAGCTGTCTTGGCTCTGCCCCAGGTCTGGGCAACTTGCCAGCTCAGCCCTTAGTTCTGCAGCTCCAGAACTTACACCCAACTACAGCCCATCTGTTTGATGGGCACATCAGTGTTCAGAAATTGTTCTTATTTATCAGTGTTTTCAGGTTACATGTGTGGAGGATAATATTATTCAAAAGCAATATTTACTTGCCTTTTCCATGGAAAAGAGTATTTCAAAGTACTTTTTCTACTACCTTTATAATAATTTCTTACCAGATATCTGTCACTTAATATTTTCATTTTCCATAATAAGCTACATGTAGCTATAAAAGGGTAGAGAAAAATAGTCTGTACAGATGTTACAGACATCTAAAGCCAAGAGGATCTTAGAAAACATTTCTCTGTTTGTCAGAAGATGATACTGATATCCAGTGAAATTAAGTAACTGGTATAGTTTTAAACTCGGATAGTTCTTTTACCCCTAGTTCAGTGTTTTTACTAAGTTCTATAAAACACAAGAGAGGGAGCCATGGAATGACAAATAGGCCCTATCATGAGGCACCAAAGTGCTGAATCACACAGGCAGTAGAGAACAAATTCATTATCTCAGTTAGCATAAGGGTTTTTATTTTTAACCAAGGGAAAAAAATGAACAAGCTCACAAAAAACCCTTCGGAAACCCTGAACTACTGCATCTAGTATAAAAAGAACAAGTCGTTTTCATGAAGCACCTGGAATATATGCTCAGAGAAGTTCATGGTGCCAAAGATATAGAGACACTTAACGTTTTCAAAGGGTGGGAAGGGCAGGTGAGAGGGAAAAAAGAGAAAGGGGAAGGAGGGAAGGAGGGAAGGAGAGAAAGAAGGAAGGAAGGAAGGAAGGAAGGAAGGAAGGAAGGAAGGAAGGAAAGAAGGAAGGAAGGAAGGAGGGAAGGAAGGAAGGAAGGAAGGGGAATGGAAAGAAGAAAGGGAAAGAAGGAAAGAAACAAAGAAAGAAAGAGAAAGATGATACAACAGAGAAAGAAGATAAACAGAGCAATACCCTGGGCCTCTTTCTCCTCCTAGGAATCACGTAGTCTTCATCTTCGTCTTTCAGAAGCTGCTTGTAGAAGAGAAAAATATTTCTTTCAAAAAATAAACCACAAATACTATAAACATATAAACCTACATATGTACCCACAAAAATTAAGAATAAATATAAATAAAATCAAAAAATAAATAAATCTTTTTTATTAATAAAAAAACTCTAGTAATTGCTTGTGAAATGGCATCTTTAATGAATGAGGTAATTTTGACAGATAGACATAGCATTTGGATAAATTGAAAATATTATATTTCGTGCAAATCAAAACCACAATGAGATACCATCTCACACTACTCAGAATGGCTATTATTAAAAAGTCAAAAAATAAAAGATGTGGGCAAGGTTGCAGGGAAAAAGGAATGTTTATACACTGTTGGTGGGAGTGTAAATTAGTTCAACCCTTGTGGAAGGCAGTGTGGCGATTCCTCAAAGACCTAAAAACAGAAATACCGTTAGACCCAGCAATCCCATTACTGAGTATATACCTGAAGGAATATAAATCATTCTGTTATAAAAATACAAGCACGTGTATGTTTGCTGCAGCACTATCCGCAATAGCAAAGACATGGAATCAACCTAAATGCCCATTGATGATAGACTGGATAAAGAAAATGTGGAATGTATACACCATGGAATACTACTCAGCCATAAAAAAGAATGAGATCATGTCCTTTGCAGCAGCATGGATGGAGCTGGAGGCCATTAGCCTTAGAAACCTATCACAGGAACAGAAAACCAAATACCGCATGTTCTCACCTATAAGTGGGAGCTAAATGATGAGAACACATGGACACGTAGAGGGAAACAACACACACTGGGGCCTATGGGAGGGTAGAGGGTGGAAGGAGGGAGAGGATCAAAACAAATACCTATTGGGTACTAGGCTTCATACCCGGGTGATGAAATAATCTGTACAACAAACCCCTATGACAAAAGTTCACCTATGCAACAAACCTGCACAGGTACCACTGAACTTAAAATAAAAGTTAAAATAAAAGAAACTATTATATTTCAAGAGTCTTAAAAATGGCTGCAATTTCTTGAGCATTTGCTGTAAGGTAGGCACTGGACTAAATACTCTGTATTCCTTTATTCTTATAGCTCTACAATCACTCCTGTAAGGTTATCCCCATTTAGCAGCCAATGAACTGAGACCTAGAGATGTTAATGTATCCAAGACTACAGAGCTACTTGATGCCAGAGCCTCACTCTAAAACCTGCTCTCCTAACCATCAAACTATCAATGTTAACAAAATGCCGACATTTGGGCCAGGACAATTATTCCTTGTGCTGAACAGTCCTATCCCTTCCAAAGCACTTATCATCACTGACCCTCAGAAGTAAATACCAGTATCAGCTTCCCATTTCTTTGAAAATTAAATCTCCCTCACATATTTCCAAACTCCCTACAGAAGTGATATTCTCCATATTCCAAACATATTGAAAAACAACTGTTCAGGAAAAAATTGAATTCCAGAAACTTAGGATTTAAGAGTTGTTAAGTTTCCGTTAGTTGAGTTTTTACAGTTAATTTGTACAGAAAAGAATAGTAAATAAAGAGAATTAGGCATGTTGGGTTTAGTGTTTTACTTGTTGACTGTGAAGCTAATTCTCAGAAAAGCACATATTTAGCATCTACTATGTCCTAAGAAAACATGTTAGATATTTTCATGCCTATGTAAAAGGAATAGGGTAGGGGAAGGGTTGAGTGAGAAACAGAGAGAATTGTCATTTTCCTCACATTATACTTGAAGAAAATAATGTTTAGGGAACTTAATTTGCCAAGCGAGAATTTTATTTAGGATTATTTCTATCATATTATACTATACTATGGATACTCAGTGGAGTTGTCCTATTGATGATTGGAAATGGAATTTAGAAACATGGTAAAAAAAAAAAATAGCCAAAAAATCAGAAAGAAGGTAATGAACATGTGAAAATCAGTCACAATTAACACATTAGAGGAGTGCCTTGTAGAATAAATATTGTGATATATATTCATAAATAAATGATTTAAAGAAGGAAACAGTAGAATCAGGAGAGGGAGAGAAAGAAGATACCCAAAATGCAGCAGTATCATACAGAGAGGAAAGTGTGTTCGGAGATACTGGAGAAGCAAGGAGGGATGGTCAGCCGTGCTGAATGCCCCTGGTGGGTGAGAGTGATTGAGGACTGGGAGAAACCTTTTAGAGTTCATGAAGCCTTCTCCAAACTGAAAACCAATAAACTGAAGACATCTTCAGGATATAACTGATTTTAAAAGTTCAGCTTTGAAAACGTGGGGGAAAGCAGTCATTTATTACAAAAATGAAAACTATGAAGTGGTTTGAACATAAAAACAAAGTTAAGGAACTAACAGGAAAAAAAGTAAGCAGTATTCAAAAACAAGCTTCGGGGGAATTTACCAGAGTTTGAAAGTTATAAACACAGAGCGACTGGCTCAGAGCCCTCTCAAGTGTGTGACAGGGCTGGAAACATCTTCTCTGAGATAAACGCCAGATCATTTATGAGAGAGAGCTTTCCCATTTTCAGACAGCTCTCCTGAGGACAGAAGGATTTATCTGCAGCAGTGGAATTCTAGTTATATGGTAGGAAGACTCCTGCACACACCTCTTTAAATGGACTGTACCTTTGCCTTAATAGGAAAAGATCTGTTTTTCTGGAAAGACAGACAACTCTGGGGCAGGAAGGTCTTCCTAGTTGTGAGCACCGTGTCTCCAGATGGTTTGTCCTTCCCTCAGTCTCCTGAGCCGTAGCAAAGGATGTGGCTGGGCTGGGAGGCGGGGACTGCGTCTACATGTGTGGATGTGTGTGTGTGTGGTGTGTTCTCATTTCCGCTTCCCCTTTTGAGCAGGCAACAGCAGTTGAATGAGTTCAGGGAGAAAGGCATAATCTACAACATGATACTTTCTCCCTCGCTTCACCTCTGTGCCCACACCTGTGAAGGCCTTGGCCCAGCTTCGACAACTGCTTTGCCTCAAACTCAGTTTTCGACCAGCGGACAGGTAAGTACAGCCTTTATCTCAGTTTCAAGGCTGTACTGATTTAGAGTGATGCTAAGAGAAAGAAGGAAACGTGTCAGAGAAAAATCAGGCTGTCAAGATCAAGACAAGGGAAAATCAGGAGAAAATCTCCCACCGCTCTTACTTCAACCTTAAAAGCATCCATCATTATGCCTAGGAGAACGATACCGGGTGCCTTTTGCTTTCGTTTGTTTGTTTTCTTTTTATTATCAGAGAGGTAATCTTTCTAGATTCTCGAAACTTGGGTCTCTTTGATGACTTAAAAAACTGTTTTAGGAATTTTATTACTTTTCTCACCTGCAAAGTTTCTCTCTGTGTCTTGCTGAACTCATTGTTGCTGCAATTTCCATCTGATTATAACACTGAAAAGTTCTCAAGGAAGAAGTTTCCAGGTTTCATTTCGGGCCCTACTCTAGTGTCCATAGCTCCAAGCATTGAGAGTACCTGGCTGAAATCAACTTTGCTTTCTATGGGTACGACCTCTTTTTTCAGAAGCTGTAGAAGAAACTTGTTGAGATAAACTGCAGCAAGATATATTGAGGTCAGCTATGAGGGAGGATGTACACACTTGAGTGATGCAAGGTCAAATTAACTGGGAGGCTCAAGATAGATGGAGAGCCACCGTCAGGACCGGATTTCAGGGTTCACATCTCAAAGACGGCTAGATGGATGTGTTGACCTCTCAGTGACCCACATAATATTGGGGGCTTCATGATCCTCCAACACCCCTTGCCCCAGTGGTAGCAGGCAGAGCTTGTTACCACCTACATGAGTTTTGGGGTAGATGGAGGAGTGGAAAGATCCTCTACCCTGGGGTTTTCCCATCCCCCTTCTGTGCCACTGAGCTCACCAGTGGGTGGAAGAGAAAGGGTGGGTCCCCAGGGCAGTGCAAGGCCAAGAGAGGAGAGTTCCACAGAATTGATTTGACAAGACTGTGAGCATTTACAGGAGATATCCAGGGAAGTACTAGTTCCTCTGTATACCACAAGTGGTCCTGAGTAGAGAGCTAAGGAGACTTTCTAGATGGTGCAGGGCAGTACCTAGGATGGGAGGTTGGAGGTAGGAACCTTCAACTTGTGTGCCCAAGTATCAGACTCAACAGTTGTTCAGCTGAGTGATTAGAGATAAAGATCTTGTATGATTCTCTTGCAGCATGAAGTGTTAGGAGGAAGAAGGGAAGTCAGATTTATTGTCTGTCTCTACTTAGACTATTATCAGAAATAACAAGCTGAAGATATAGCAGGAGGGTTAGAGAGCAATCTAACATATGAGTTATTCACATGTACCCCAGGGTGTTTAGAAACCATTTATAGCCATACTACCAACATGTCCTCATAATTCTTGGGTTTTTGAAAATTAAGATGGAACCCTGCGATTCAGCATTATGTAGTGAACATGAAGGTCCAACCGTCATTTTCAGTTCAATGTTTATGATTCAGCATTATGTAGTGCACATGAAGGCCCAATTGTCATTTTCAGTTCAATGTGTATGATTTGGATTCTAGTAGAGAATTAAAAGGAGGTCTCGTCTCAGCCAATACCGTGACTTACAAGGTTCCTTCTGGGCTACAGTAAGGGGAAAAGATCACACATTTATTTCCACCTGCAAACTGACAACTGTTCTCTTTTCCACCTAAGGAACAAGACCAAAGTGGATATTCCAGTACCCACAGTACTAGGTACCCTACCACACACAGGCCTGAGGCAGAGTGGCCTAAACACAGATTCTAGATTAAGAAAAGAGTTCAGTCAAATAAGCAGAGGGACGAGGACAAGAAGATTGTGTGCAGATATTGAAAAGGAAAAGCAGGAAAGAAGAAAATGAGTATATGCAGGACAGAGCTTATTACCAAGGAGATAAAACTGAAGAATTAAAGATACAAATTCACAGAGCTAACTCAATGGTTGAGAAATCTGCTCATTCTTCCTACTTTCTCTTGATGAAACCATCTACAAATCAGCTCAGATAAACTGCTGTTTCTTATTCTTGATGTCTTTATTGCCCATTCAAATGAAGATATTTGATGTCTCCCTACATTGAGAACATGGGACTTTTTTCCAAATACACAACTTTAGTATTTCCTGTAGCATTATACAAGCCTTTCTTAAAATTCATATCCTGAAAGTGGAAGTAAGAAAGAAAGGGAAGGAGAGGAAAAAGGTCTTAGATGATCTTCTTTCAGTATTTATTCAGCTACACTTATTTGTGGGAGAAAGAGTATGAAAAGGGAGGGAAATAGGAGTTCCATTGATAAATGGGCATTTTTTGTTTCTATTATTTACCAAATAACATCTCCCCTTTTCCCTGAGCAGACTGAACTGCTCCTTGGACAACAGAAGTCTCAGAATGCTCAAATATTATACTCAGGGAAATTCTTGTTCTGATGATCTTCCAACCTGAGTGACATTAAAGAGGGTTAGGAGCTAGAAGACAGTTCTTATCTATGAAGGAATGTGTGAATTTGTTGCAGATTGGGGTATGTCAAATGGGGGACAATTCCCCTGGGTTGAGGTGGAATTTGCCCAGTTCACAAACAGAGAAATGTTAGCTGCTCTGGGATTTCCCACAGCTCTTTGCGATGGTAATGATGTATATCTTGGCTGTGGATGCAGAAGGTCTTACGGGCCACATCATGGAAACCCTATTTCCTTCTTCTCTCCTCCCACACTGGTTCTCACTCTCAGTCTCAACTTACAGGCACTGCTTGGGGCATAGGCACAAAACAGACAGAAGAGAAGAGAAGTCTGTCTCATACATGTCCCCCAGAGCACTAAAGACAAACCTGGGACTGGGCCTTGGAAACCAAGTGTGGCAGGAGGAAGGCTGTATGATATAAAGGAAGAAAGCATGCATCTGGAGCTCAGAACTTGTGAGTTTGGTCCCCATTTAAAACCACTAATATTCTTTGTGACTCCAGACAAGCCTGCTTCTCTGTCTCTCTTTCTCTTTCTCTCTCTCCTCTCTCTCTCTCTCTCTCTCTTTCTCCCTCCTCTCTCTCTTGTTTCCTCAACTACAAAATGAGTGACCAGGATTAGATAATCTCTCTGGTCCCTTGGAGAATTAGGTAAGAAAGAAAGACTTTTCATTGTTTACTTCTTATCTCTGCTTACCACAGATTAAAAAAATCTTTTTCACCATCTTGGTTTTATACTGTCAGCTGTACCCTGCTGTTCACACCTTCTTCCTTCCTTCTTTCCTTCCTTATTCCTCAAGATGTTTCAACTTTAGTGAACATCTTAGACTGAGGGCAGATTCATAATCATATCTGTCAATTATTAAGCACCACCTTTATACATCAGAGACTTAATATATGTTATCTGATTACAGCTGCCAGTCACCTAACTAATTTGGCACAGTATCTATTTTGCACATGAAGAAAATTAGGTATAGGCTAGGTGCGGTGGCTCACACCTAAAATTCCAGCATTTGGGGAGGCAAAGGTGGGAGGATTGCTTGAGGTCAGGTGTTCAAGACCAGCCTGGGTAACACAGCAAGACAAAAGAAAAAGAAAAAGAAACTTAGGTATGGAAGGAAAGATAGTATTACCAAGGACAAATACGCAGGAAGTAGACAGAACTATGATTCCAAATTAGGCTAATTCTGATTCCAAGTCCCAAACTCTTTCTACGGTTTTCCTTTTCTTTAATTTCTAAATAACACTCTGAACTTTAAAGTAAAAGAAGCTTTGGTTTTCCTTACTGAGCCCCTTGAAAATTTCCCCATAGTGAAGTATCTGTAAGCAGAGCTGGTATTTGTCAGGTGCAAATTGGTAGGCTAATAGTTGCTAAAATATTAAAATATGTCTATAGCAAATAATGGTAATTATCCATTTTCCCAAGCCCTCTGAGTACCCATCACCAGCCCAGCTATCCTAGCTCTTTCCTCAAGACTCCCCAGACAGGCCCCATGTACTGAGTGGGGCCCCACCACAGGGCTGTGACGGTATCAGCTCTCATTGCTCTGTGGTGCCCCAAACCATTATGAAATATTCTGAATGCCACAACAATCTGAAAGTAATGTGGAATTCCAGGCAGATTCTCTCCTCCCAACTGGAAGTTAGTGGGACCCTTGCCAAAAAAACCACTCTGTAAGCCTGAGGAAGGCTAAACTGCTTCATAATCACCTCGCTGAAGTCAGAAAGGAAACTATTCTAATAACACAAACAAAGCAACACTTCCCGCACTAAGACTGTCACAGAACCAAATATAAATTACCTTGTGTTTATGCTGCCTTTTCTCTACCAGACTATAAGATGGAGAGCTTGCATAGCATGCAAAATGGAGAATTTACTAAAACTACTTCTCCTTTTTTTTAAATCCCAAATTACATTGGATGGTGACATTGGGCCATTTTCTTATTGTAATGTCAGCAGAAAAACTATATAACATGGAGTCAGACCAACTTGAGTTTCAATCTCAGCACTATGGGGACGTGACCTTGGACAAGTAACATATCTCCATGAGTGTCAGGTAACAGTGATTAGCTCTAAAGTGGTTGTCAGGATTCAGTTAAGCAGTTTACAGGAAAGTTTTATGGATACATATACAGTCCTCTCTACATATCAGTTATTATGAGTACCTACCTTTGACTTGCCCATGTCAATATGTAGTGAATCCCAGACTGCTTCCCTTGGAAAACAGAGACTAGAAATAGGTGATACTCTTCATGTCATAATTATGACATACCTCTACAGGCTTTCTGCTGCTGCTCCAGTTACTGCCTCTAATAATAATTTTTGTTGGAAGATACTCATTTCACAGCTCTTAACTCCCTAATCTTAAACCAGTAGAGGATATTTCTCCTGTCTAACCTCAATCCTATCTGCTACAATTTCTGCTTTTAACTATAGCATCCTCAGAACAAGAATTCTGTCTTACTCCACTTGGCTGTAACCGGATTTCAGAACTCTTGACAGATTGTGGAGAAGGATTTATGGAATGAACCTCTAGAGAAATGTAGAAAAGAGGAAAGAACAAAAGGCTGGAAATGGTAGCAGAGGGGAGAAATAAGGTTTGGGCTGATTCAGGCAAGAAGCAATAGTTCCAGTGTGGGAATTTCTTAAGTTTCGTGGGAAAATTGGAGAACAGATATCTGCAGGCTTTATATTTCTATCCTCACAGAGAAGACCAAATATGATCATATACTATAAGCCAGCATCAAGAGAGATGACAGATGAACTCCAGAAGGAAATTTTGATGAAGAAATGAATAAAAACTTGAAAGACTGGCAAATATTTTTTTTTAAATAGGAGAATTTGGTAGTTCAAGCTTCATAAATTAAGTCAGACTTGGGTGACCTTATGTTATATCAGCAAAGGACTGGAAAGACTATGCTCCAAGCCTTTTTCCTCTTTACTACAAGCTGTGCAAAAATGTACATTAGGATCCAAGACCATGAGGACAGTCAGGAGCACCTGTCCTATGATGAATACTAATTGGGGATAATTTCCCAGTGCCAGGGTGATTCTTGCTCCTCTGCAGGTACAGAACTTATGGAGTCCCTTCTCTTGAAAAGCACTGTGCTATGTTCTATGATGGGTTTAGGGGAGAAGTTACAAGTAGTGGTAAATGATGACAAGAGAGGTAGCCACTTACTGTCTTGTTGCATATGGTGCAGGCATGGATGTTAGTTGCTACAGGTGGGTCAGAGAAAGGAGATGACTTAAGTAGGCCGTTAAAGGGTAGAAAGAATTTGCTTGATTAGAGAGGAAGGTGGATGAAACTATAAGCTAAAGCAAAGAAGCAGAAAAGTTCAAGCAGTGTTGACAGTCAATGAGTAGCAACTGACTGACTCCCTGTATAAGTTCCCATATGGCCTTCATGTTCAGGCTCACCAGTTTCCTGGATCCAGTGTGAAGGCCACATGTGCAGGAGCTCCATATGTTGGTGTTAATTTGAAAGGGAATTTGGTAAATGGGAAGTAACTCCAGAGACCACTGAACCATTTCCAATTTTTTAATGGGGAAACTGTATAAATGCACTTTCTTTTATGGGTACTATTCCTATGCGTATTTCAAACTCACCTAAATAAATTAATAAATATTGGTAGTGGAAGTAAATTTACATAAACGTTGAGTCCAACCAATCCATTTCCTGGAGGATTAAACTGAAACCTTAATAAAAAACCTAACTGATATGCCATAAGTCAATTAACTGGACAAGTCAGAAAAATGTCCAAGTCTCCTGATTTCTAATCAGTTTTCTTTTCACTGCACCAAACTCCATTGTATTATCAGTGTACATGTTTGAATGACTTATTTGGAGAAAACATCTTCGTGTCTTTGTCTCTATTACAAGGGGCCCCAAGACCTACAAAGCTGCTATCTTGACATCTGTGTGCACCCATTTTTTAATTCTCTCTAACATTCTCATGGCTGATGTGTTTGTCTGATAATCATTTGCTGCTTCCTGCAGATTTCCACACACACACAAAAAAAAACCAGTTTCATATCTCCCAGCAGTACAACTTCCTCCTATTACCACTAACCAGATACTACCATTTCTTTTTGCCTCTTGATATTGCTGTGCTTATAGTAATCCTATATATATAACACTCCATGGACAGGTTTCTACAACTCATGTGTTGCTGAGATTGGGAAAAAAATTATTTATGCAATTTCCCAGTCCCCTATCATGTGTGCTAGAGTTGTGAAGATCAGCTTAGATCTACCTTGTGTCTTTTCTTTAGACTTGAGATCACTGTTACTTTTTCAAGTAGAAAAATTATTACATTCTCACTCAAATTGCCAGGAAAATGTCTGTCATTCTCAGTGAACACTTAACCTGTCTGGTCTTTTTATTGTCATACCTACAATTGCCATTTATTTGTAAGCCTTTCTTTGGAACTCTTAAGCATTCAGGATTGTTTCCATAGGCACTTTCCTTTAGGAATTAACATTAAGTGAAACTTCCATACATAGGACATAGAGACAGGCAGTAAATAGGGACTAGTCAAGAAAATACAACTTTTGTTCTCAATTGTAGGAACTTCTAGGATAGAAACAAGTCTTAGAATAACCCTCTCTCTTCTCTCCAGCTTTCAACCCACAACATTTTTACATGCTTAGTAAGTACGTAGTTACCAGCTTATTGTTACTGTTTTGAAGTTGATCTCCCTGCATGTGTCTCTGATGACTCTGAAAGGCACTGGGCTCCTATGAGGAACGGTCACCTTCTAGACATTCACTCATTTAGACAATGGGTATTCATTAAGTTATTAGAATGTGTTAGATTCTGTTTTAGGCATTAGAAACACAGTAGTAAATGACCCCAAAATTCTGTCTTCTTAGAGCTTGTATTCTAATCAGAAGAGTAAACAATAAATTGGGTAAATAAGTAAAATGTAAAGTATGTTAGTGATAATACCTAAGAAGAAAAAACTCAAGCAGAGAAAGAGCTCAGCGAAAGTGATTAAGGTAGGCTGTGGAAGCCAGGCATGGCTCCATGGAGGAGGTTGGTTAAAAGCTGGACACTGCAGGGTGAGTGTGGCAAAGACTGAGGAAGATGAAGAGAAAGGGGGAAGAATATGAGAAAACTGAGGTTAAAAAAAGAGGTAAGTATTTTCAGGGGATGCAGAGGAAATTACCCTATGTTATTGCGATATATTTTTGAAGATGTGGGAGGAATGTAAAATAGATTCACATCACAGAGGATGTTGAAAGCCCCAAACTCCATTTCAATTAGTGAGATTCTGGGATTGTGCTAGGCATTGTAGGGGTTCGACTGTAAAATGGCACATCCAGAAGTTTGTAGTACCAGACGCATCAAATGTTACGGCTGTAATGTTTTCATTGACAAACTGAGACCAAATAAAGGGATGAAATTTCCCAAGGTTATACCATTTGAAGTGGCAGAAGAAAGTATGGAAGCCAGATATTCCTCCCTCCCTCCATCCCTCCTTCTCTTCCTCCTTCTCTGCCTACCCTCTTGCCCTTCTGCCTTCCTGCCCTCCTGGCTTCCTGCCTGCCTTTTGAGTTCTACTACCAAAAATATTCTGTGAGCTGAAGATTCCCAGTGATTTAGGGGAGGTCCATTTCCTTTGGGAATTAAAAACAATAGGCAAGTTAGCCTTTGTGATTTTCTTCTCTGGGTTCTGGAACCAATCTATTAAATATTTCGGATCACAGGACTAGGTAAACAAACTGATCAAGGTTTTTTAGATTCTTGTCCTAAGGTCATTCTAGTGGCAGTTTCATCCTCTCTTTATCTCCTCCCGACAGCTCTGACCAGAGAATAGCAAGTCATCTCTGCTACTCTTCTTTGAGGCTTCTTTATGACACAAACTTAATTTAATGATTTAATTTTCTCTAAAAGGCACAGGCAGTAGACAAACAGCCAGGTACCCAGGGTTAATGAGCAAAGTCTCATAGTGCTAACTACTGTCTCACTTGGAAGAAAAATATGTCTTGGACGGACCTGAAGTGAAGGAATTTAGATCAGACAACAGTAATTATGTACTATTTTTTCCTAGGTATGTTTTGTCTGTAACAAGCAGAGGCATTAAAAACAATTTTTATTGCCCTAGGAATGCATTTTATGTTCAGGATGTTCTTTTCAAAAAAGCTATTTTAGTGCCTAAATCACTGGATGCCTCACTAATGGTTTTAAGTATTGGAGGAACAGAAGTCTCTGTAAACTGGTAGTCTTTATTTTATTTTATTTTATTTTATTTTATTTTATTATTCTATTCCAATAGTTAAAAGTGTAGCTCTTAAGATGAAGTTGTTTATGGCAGCTTGAGGGAATAGGGGGATAAGACCTGGAGAGTTTCAGCCCCACTCCTACTTGCTCAGTGAGGTGGGATGCAAGTATGGCCAGCGGGGGAGAGGCAGCAGAACAGAGTATGAGCCAATGAATATTACATTAGCCTCAAGCTTTTTAAAGCTCTATTTGGACAATTGAATGATTCTTCCCCTCTGTTCCTCTTTGAATGTGTATCTAGTGCCATCATTGTGTCTCTTGGAAGAATACAGGCATGTTTAGGTAATGTTACATGAAATATGAATCTATAGGATTAGTAATTGCATTGACGAGCTGAGGAATAAATTCATAGTTAGGTAGAAGCACAGGTTGACAAATCAGAAAGTGATTATCCTGCAGGTGCTGGCTGCTAATTGGTTAAGGCAGTGTCTCCTTGCTTTTAATCACAGGGTATTTTTTTCTGAGATAAATCATATGTGGACTCCTAATATATAAAACAGGAACATAAAAAATCAAGAGAAAAACTAAACAAACAAACCTAGAATTCCTATAGTTGGAGTGACATCCTGGTTGTGGGACCTTAGAAAATCTGTTTCACCGTTGAGACCTTCAACTTTTTCATACATCTTGATGAGGATTAAAAAATAAATGAATTTTATACATTTTAAACTTACAGATGTTTTAGTCATAATGGAAGATTCTGGTTGACAACATTCTTAAGGATTAAAGAAAAAATGTTTTCTAATACAGCATTTCGGCTACCCAGAGAAATTGAGATTCTTTAAGTCAGAAGAGTTTTCTTAATATCCATTAAATCGTGATGTCTGAAGCTTTCAAACTTACTGACTTGAAAGACTTACCCTGATATTTAAAGTTTTCAGAGCATTCCTTTTTTGCAGGAGAGACAGAAAATGAGCTAGGGATGTCCTCCCTACTCTTGAATGTGTAGAGAGACCAAGCTCCTTTGGGCAGAGACAGGAAAATTCGGGGGCAATCCGGAGCATCATGGTGGTTTCTGAGCACAGGATGAGGGAGCATCGCTGTTTTTCAACTCTTAGGACAGCATTACTGTTACGGGAGGCTCTGAAGTCTGAGCCAGGGCCATGGAGGCCTCTGTGCTGAGCCCCACATCCTGGGAGAAACGGCGGGCCTGGCTCCGTCAGAGCCGTAACTGGCAGACCCAGGTCCTAGAAGAGGAGGCTGCCGCCGCCCTGCAGGATGTCCCAGATCCTGAGCCTTCCAGCCTGGATGACGTTTTCCAAGAAGGTAAGAGATGAACATCAGACAGATGTCTATGTTGTCTGGTGGTAAAAGGTGACAGCAGGCCCAGGTCTGCAGAGTGTGAACAGGTCCCTTGTTTAGCGAGGCCCTCATGGAGGGCTGTTTTGACTGGTTTAAATATGTTTAAGAGAAAAGCTAAAGTAATACAAAATATGAGTTATGTGAGAAAGAGACAGGCATAAGATTAGGAAAAAGGGAAAAGCCCATTTTTGCATCATCCTGAGAAGCTTCTGTAAGAACCCAAGGCTGGGGGTTCTCTATGAATGCTTTGCGGTGTTTCTATTTTGTCTGTGTAACAAGACCACACACAAGCTGGATGCCTAGACTCTGGCCACAATGCTGTCACTAACAAGCTGTGTGGCCTTTGGGAAGTCCCTCACCTCTCTAAGACTTATTTGTCCAGTTGAAATAGTAGTACCTTTCCTACACTTCTCAGAGCTTCTTTGAGGTTCAAATGAGACCACAGTCATAAGAGTAAAACAAAAATTCTGATGGAAATAAATGCTTATTTGGTAGGAAGCAAAAAAGCACAAAAACAAGATTGTCTTTCTTTTTCTTTTTCTTTTTAAATGAGAAGGATCCACCCTTGTGGGAAAGGAACTCTCAAAAGACAGCAGTGGGCCTGACATCTTGGGCACTTTCCAGGTTCTTGGGAGGAAGGGAGAAAAGAAGCAGAGAGAGAGAAGAAATATCCACTATTTTTATATACGGTGTATTCCTCTCATATCTTAAAGAAAAGCTTTATGTAGAAAAAAAGATTCATGACGCAGCTTATGTAAGAATAAACTTGTGGAATGGAATTAGTTGCAGGGAGGAGGTCTGATTTCGTTCAGTTCTCACAGTGATCTAGTATCTGACTTTTCTAGGGAATCCAATCAATAAAATTGAAGACTGGCTGCAGGATTGTGGGTAAGTGCTGGACAGGCAACGGGGTGGTATGTGACTGATGGTTGGATTTGCTAACAGATACAACTCCTGGAAACTCAGAGACAGGAAGATGGATTTGAATTGGGCCTAAAGATTAGAAGTAAGGTTGAGGTGGTTGTTGGAGGGGTGTTGCGGGTTTAGGGTGAACCGGTAATCACAACTGTGAATCAAGTGCAACTCGGGGCTAAGACTAAATTAGGCACCAGGTCTAGGAATAGAGGTTGTGTTCGGTCTAAAGCTAAGAGTGGATGGGGAATAGTTGGGGTGAGTTCCAGACCCCTACTCCCCCTGACTTCCCCTTTAGATTGGAGTCTTACATTGTGTAACAAAAGGAATTGGAAACCTGATCTTTCTTGCTGAAGAGCAATTCATCTGTGTTATTTATTTCTACTGCAGAACATAGGAGAAGTTTAGGGTTTACGACAGTGATTCAAAGCAGGGAAGAATTGGAGCAGGCACTTCAAGGCAGTGCATTATCTCTTTCCTCAGAGATACTTGAAATATGAGACCCCACAGCCCATCAGCCTAGACCGTTCTTAGGCTCAGTATTCCCAGACACAAAAGGAAGGATTCTGTGACCTATTTAGTCTTCTGTGTAATAATGAATTCTCAGAATGGACAACTTCTGCCTGCTCCTTATTTTCCCTCCAGGAATGTCTCAAGTTTTATATAGCCTTTAATCTAAACTCATCTACTAATTGGCATAAAGAAACCCATTCTTGCTTATTTGGTAGGAAATAAATAGCACCAAATAATCCAAGGTTGTTTATTTCACCTGTGCCCAAGAAGGCAATGCCAGGAAGGATTTATTTTGTGTTTGTTTTGTTGTTTGAAAAAAAAAAACCTATTGTTCTCATTGCTCTCATCTTATTCACAATTCATTGACTTAAAAGTCAATTAGAGGACACACAAACTACAGGAAGAAAAGAATGGTGGTAATCAGAATATCCGAATGGTTGCAGGTTTGGGTGAGAAGCCTAGGATGAGAACTGTCCTAGGATTTAAAATGCTTACCAGATATGTACAGGGGAAACAGTCAGCTCAGTTAATGTCCTTATCTCATTAACTACTCTTGAGTCGTCAATTCATGTCAACAATTATTAATTACGCTTTTGCTAACTGTCTGATTATCTGAATAACCTAGAGGGGTGCCAAGTAGTTTAAAATATGCTCCTTGCCTTAGAACATTTTTCATCCTAATTGAAAATAATAAATTCACAGAAATACAAGATAATAAATTCTAGAATTCATCTTTCTTCACTCATGCTCTACAAAGATAAACCCTGAACCAAAATTTATGACAAAAAGGTGGTCTGGTTAGTGAAAAGTCTCCAAGATTTGAGCCTAATTCTTGTGCTACTAAGTGTTTAACCAATCATAAGCAAATAACTTAAATTCTGTTCACTGTAGACACTTGAGCTATAAAGTGGGACACTCAGAATAATACAGTCTAAGGGCTCTCTTGAGGCTTAAATGAGATAATATATGTGTATATGTTTTGTGCTTTTAATAGTGACTGGTGAGTTTTATAAAGGAGGAGTTTATACCTACCTGTCATTCTACAAAATGTCTGCCTATATCTATCCATCTATCTACATCTGTTTATTTATCAGAAAAAATATGCCCAGAAATGATACATATTAACTCTTGGATGGTGGTTACCTGGAAGAAGGAAAAGAATTGACTTTAGAATTAAAATAAGACTTTAGTTATATCTTTAGTATTTAATTTTTATTTTATATTATATATTACTGAATATTTTATTTTTTCTGAAGCAAATATGGAAAAATGTTTACATGTGTGAAAATGGAGTGACTGGAACAAGGGTATCTGTTACATTTTCATTATGTATCTGTGTTTTGAAGAGGTTTCAAATATTTAAACTTCAAAACAGCCATAAAGAGTTAATCAACATACTTGCATTTGTCTTTGGAAGGGGAATTGTTGGAGTCAGAAAATTTTCCAATTTCCTCTGTTTTCTAATTCTGTCTAAGTATGTGATACTTCTTAATTGCATGGAAAAGCTAGAAAAATTAAAGGATGATAATGACGATGATTGATAGTGAGAGTACACTTGACTTTTGGTAATAGATAATGAAGAAGATAGAGGGAAAATGCATTTTAAATATGAGATTCTGAATTACCACAATATTCCACGCTCCAAGACCACAGAGAAAAGAGGATAAACAAGGAGCCCACATTTACTGATTATCTGTCCACTCTGTTGCCAGGTGCCCTGAGGGGCACTTTTCAAATTTTGTTCCAAGACCACATAGTTTCAATTTCTCTTTCCAAAGCCAAACATCCTCTGGTAGCAAGAGCATTTTCTTTTCTGACAAGCTCTCCAGGAGAGTCCACCAACATCTCAGGCAATTTAGTGTCAATGTTTCTCAGTGCAATTGAATCTAGCGGCCGGCTATTCTGCCACCGGATCTGATCATGCATGTCTTTGCAAACTATGCCTCTCCTTTTTTCTTTCTCCTCCTAAGCTCTCGAGATTTTCTGGGACATGACTGTGTTGCTCATGAATCACCAGAGGTGGGGTTGGGAGCCCAAAAATCATCTGTGTGGGCTTCAGCTTAAATCTCTGCAGGCAGGTAGCTATGGAAACATCTAGAAGAAGCTAAAAATAGCCATATACTTCTTCCCACAATCCAACCCCTCCTCCCTACTATTTGTTTAGGAACTGGGTATACAGGAAGAGCAATATCTTGGCTCTTTTATTTGAGACTTAAAATGATGCTAAGGAATTTTTCAGTGCAAGGGTGGGAAGAGGGGAGCAGCTATAGATCTAGTCCCTGGTCATTGATTTTATGGCCTATCCAATAACCCATGGAAGGCCTTGGACTTGAGTGATGGCCATAAAGTCTCAGATCATTGTGCTCAGTGAGAAAGCATCAATAGCTCCAGGCCCATGTCCACACTTCTGTTGAAGGTTCCACAGACTTCCCCAAGACCCATCAGGGCCTGTTCCTCATAAACAGAATAGAAATACTTGGCAGATTATAACTAAAGAAGAAAAATGTAGGATGAGCACCCAATAAAAACTTGTATCCAATGAATACAAGTGAGTTTTGCTTTGGACAAACCAGAAATTTTATCAGTGACATTTTAAATGTAAATCGTATTGAAGTTCAGCATACATATCAGTAACTTTTTTCTTTTTAATATAAATTATATTGAAGTATAATATACCTACTGAAAAATAAATGAGTATTAAATATATAACTGAGGCCAGGCACCTGGAATGCCTGTAACCCCAGCACTTTGGGAGTTCAAGGCAGGAGGAATGCTTGAACCCAGGAGTTCAAGACCACTCTGGGCAATGTACCATTACTCCATCTCTACAAGAAAAAACAAAACAGTTTTTAAAAATTAGCCAGGCATGGCAGCACCTGTAGTCCTAGCTACTCAGGCGATTGAAGCAGGAGGCTTGCTTGGGCTTAGGAGTTCAAGGCTGCAGTGAGCTATTCTCACTGTACTCCAACCTGGGAGACAGAGTGAGACCCTGTCAACAAATAAATCATAGGCAAATAAATAAATACATAAATGGCCCAGTGAATTTTCACAAAGGGAATACACCCATGAAACCTAAAGCAGAGCATTGCCAGCATTCCAAGCTCCTCCTTTCCATCCCTTCCATTCACTATCCTGCCTCCAAGGGTAACAAATACCCTGACTTGTAACATCATAGATATGTTTGGGATTATTTTGAACTTTATAGAAATAGTCATACAACATGTACTGTTTTATGTGTGTTTCTTTTGCTTAGCATTATGTTTATGATGCTTATCCATGTATCTGCATGCAGTAGTAACTTGTTCTTATTATTGTGCAATATTAAGTTGTACAGTTATATAATTGCTTAATTTTATAATACATAGGGATTTGGAGGCTTCTATTTCTTGGTTATCACTACTAGTATTTACTTGGGGGAGCATATACAGGCATGTCCACTGGGTACAACCTAGAAATGGAATTGTAGTCTATTTAAATTGTACCTCTAGTAATAGTAGGCCTTAGTAGTTGCACTACTGTGCAGTTACAACACAAGCATTAAATGCAGTAGTAAATTGCAATATTCTAGTACTTGACTATATTAGCTATCGTGCTGTTTTTGGTAGTAATAGTCAATATTATATATAGTTACACATGTTTGTAGTATTATACCGTCGCATATTTTATGTAATTATATATTAGGAAGACAAAAATATATTTATAGTTCTAGGTGCATTATTAGAGTTACCTATTCTTAACGAGCTTGCCTATTATTTCACATTTTATAATGAACCTTTGATGTAGAACCTGCTTCTATGAATTTTCATGAGGACATATGAAAATTCAGATTTTGGTAAGCATGGTTGGTTTTTTTACTATTGAAAGGAGTTACAAGCAAAAGATATCTATATATGTAATGACTTATTTTGTAAAATTTAGGCAGAACTTGACCTACAGATATTTGGTTATTAAGCCCATTCCCACTGTTACACACGCCATGAAGTGATACTCCAGTAGCCTGAGAGTAATCTGGATTGCTGGAGACTGATGAAGAGGAAAGCTCCTTTAGGACCAGCACCAGTGGACGCTCTTCAGTTTCCCTGCTAACTCACGTTACTGACCCTTTTCCCTCCAACCTCCACTTGAGATTACATTTAAAGCACCATGAACAGCTTCCATGTAAAAAGCTTTAGGAAAGCAAACTCTACAAAATTCACAACATGTCAGTGTTTGAAGTAGGCTTAGATGGTGATAATATCTAGGGATCCAAATTCCCTTACATGATATTCGAGAACAAAAGAGCCACAATGAGCCGGGACTAGCATCTAGATGTGCTGGTCCCATTTCAAAGCCCTATCACAGATTACTTCACACACCTGTTTTTGACAGACAGAATTTCTTCCTTGTTTATAAAACCGAGCTGTCTCTCACTACCATTTATGCTGATTTCTGTTTGTTCTTCTGGTGGCGATGGTAAATGTTTGATAAGACCATGTCTGAAAATTTTAAAATATCTCTAACCGGGATACGATTTCTTCTGTTTCCTGAATGACGTGATATTCAGCAATAACATGGTTCAGAGAGAAGGAAGGAAGTGTGGGTAGTTAAGGTGACCCAGAAATTTATGTTTGCAATTTGGAAATTATGGCACGCAAACCCCTGCTTCTATGAATGTAATTCTCCAGTTTTGCTTCAATATTCTTTCTTTCCTATTTTACCTAAAGATCGAAGAATCATTGCTAGGCTGACTTTTGTCTCTTAGTCCTGTGGCCAGGACAACAGAAGCACAATCTAAAACATAGTGCATTCCAGCCTCAGTTTCCCCAACTACTTCTGTGAATTTTTCAGTCAAGTAACCACTCTGTCTTTGTTTTCTCCAATATAAAAGCAAATTAAATACTACTGACTCTTATTGGAAAAGAATATGAACATGTATGAGCTTTTAAAAGCTCCTGGGAAAATGTAGTAAGTGACTTCAACCTATAAGACTGTTTTTGGTTTAGATACTCTGAAGAAGGACTTTCTGAGGAAGCAGGACAGTTTATCTACAGTGGTGAGTACAGGTTCTGTCCTTCTGTTGTTCTTCTACCTGGAGAGTGACATACCTGTGCGTGTGTGTATGTGAGTGTTTATGTACATGTACATGCATAGGCATGCAAAAGAGTACCTGAGTGTTCTTAAACTGGCTGCAAAACACTGTTCGTGGTCACAAGGCTTCAGGAAATCCGGAAGAATATGCTGGCTCAGAGCCCACAGGCTCACTAACAGTCATAGGCTATCTTCTGCTAGGGGTTGCTCAGATAACAACCACTGCTGTAGGATAAGAACTTTCATAAAGTTCTTATATATTTTATAATATGTGTTTATATGGGTGTGAGTGCACACCCCCGTGTGTTTGCTGTTTGGCAGGGGATTATGTACATAACTATGTGATATAGGGGAAAGGTTATAGGTGAATGTATGTATGATTCTTTCTGAATCAAAAATGAATATGACTTCTGAGGTGGTATATGTACAATAATTTGACAAACATGTGGATATCTAGTATGATTATGTGGTTGTGCAAGTCTAGTCTAAGAGCATATAAAGATGTTCGTGTATGCAGGGGTGTGGGTGTGCATGCGTTATGTTCCATCCTTATTTTCTGTGACCCTCACCTGATTATTGGACAGGCTTCTGCAGCCATGGGACCAGCTTTGAAGATGACTTGACCCTGGGAGCAGAGGGTAAGTGGCACAGTTCTCTGAGGTTGGGATGAGAACGGGATATACATTGGATGAGTTTTGGATAGGATGGAAGTGCAAAACTTCAAAAAGAAACAGCCCATCCCTGGGGTCTTATCTATAGGGAAAGGGCAGTCTCATTATTATCTAACGTAAAATACAGAAGGCATCACATGCCCAGAAACACTTCCTCATCAGCCTATCATGACTCCTACTGGTTCACCATTGGAACTTTCCTTTGACCCCGGGACAATGACATATAAAATTACTATAACATTTGCTGCCCAGATATCTTTAAGACTGTTTTCTGTACAGAAACTCCAAACAAGTTTGTGCATTGGGTGTCAAATAGAGACGATACTTCAGGAGGAGAAAGGCATCAGTAAAGAATGAAAGCACAGCAACCTACCAGGGTCTCCTGGGACCTGTAAAGACTTGTGTAGGGGAACAGGAACACTAGCCAGGAGGACCAAATGACTCCATCCTTTTTAGCACAGAGGGGCTCTTGCCTAGACATCAGTCATGGGTCAGAAGTTCAGAGGCTTAAGGCCAGTTACTCTCTGGCATATCTGTCCTTATTCCAGAACTGTGTTAGGTAATCTTGAGGCCCCAAGAAGTACAGAATTCATGGGGTCCAGCTAGTCTGTCATAGTGACAAAAGGAAACGGAGGGGACTGAGTTTTAAGTTCAGAGGGGCAACGCAGGTGATTTTCATTTTCCCTTCTAATTTGTTCTTTGCTTCTCTGTTTCTTGTCCAGCCACACTACTGGCCGCCAATGGCAAACTCTTCTCCAGGTAAGTATTAGGTTCAGCCAGGGCAAATGATGTCTCCTTTAAAAATCAGTGAATTGGGGTAGGTCAAAGAGATTAAAATAAAGACCTAAAGATTCACATTAGAAAGTGAGACTTTCCAACGAACAACGACTGCATAGACTAAAAGGTACCCATCAGGGGGTGAATAAGCCCAGCAGGGATTCCTTGAAGCCAGGGTGCAAACTGGAAATAAGATTTGTATGACATCAGCTTTGATCTCTGCAGGAGTTTCCTCGAGACAGCCAGGCCTTTCCAGCTACTTGATCTTGGCTGTAGTTTGGCTTCCAGCAGCATGACTGCGGGGACCAACAAGACTAGTTCAAGGTAGGTACTAAAGTTTGTCAGGGTGGAAGGGTGGAGAAGATGAGAAGCATAGGAGAATAGAACCAAGAGCCATGGCCTGTTTTTTCTCAGATATCTTACTGGAGCTTTTATGTACTTTTACTGCATACTTGAAAAATGTGACCATATTTGTTTCAAGAATTGTGAAAGATGCAGAGGAGTCTTCTCAGAGCTGAAAACTATGTGCAAAATATAGGTGTCTCCTCCCACTGAAACTTGTACCCAGGAGGTACAGTATTGGTACCATCACAGTTCCAAGACTCAGAGTAGGTGCTCGGTAAACAATGTATTGATGAATTGACTAATTTGCTGATTGAATGAAGCAATAAAATATTAATTCATTCAGACATGTAGACCAGGCAATGACTGTATGGAATTTGAAAAAGATGAAGCAGCACTATTCACAATAGCAAAGACGTGGAACCAACCCAAATGCCCATCAGTGATAGACTGGATAAAGAAAATGTGGTACATATACTAGGCAGCCATGAAAAGGAACATGTTCGTGTCCTTTGCAGGGACATGGATGGAGCTGGAAGTTGTTATCCTCAGCAAACTAACACAGGAACAGAAAACCAAACACCACATGTTTTCACGTCTAAGTAGGAGCTGAATAATGAGAACACATGGACACAGGGAGGGGAACAACACACACTGGGACCTGTCAGGGGGTTGGGTGAGAGGAGGGAGATCATTAGGAGAAATAGCTAATGCATGCTGGGCTTAATACCTAGGTGATGGGTTGATAGGTGCGGCAAACCACCATGGCACACATTTACCTGTAACAAACCTGCACATCCTGCACATGTACACCAGAAATTAAAATAAAAATAAAAATAAAAAAAGAAAAGATGAAGCAAACAAATAGCTTGGCCCCAGGAGCTGAATGATTTAATAGGGTGGGCAAAATATACACACAAATAACTCTTTAAAAAAGATGAAAAGTCTGGAAAACTAATATGATATAATGAAAATTATCTGAAATTTGAAGTCAAAATTTGAATTTGAGACCTGGTTCTGATACTTAAATTTTGTCACATGACCAGGTTTAGTAATTTATCCTCACTGAGCCTTAGTCCTAGTTCATACCCTAGTTCAATTTAATCAGAATGTCTGGAGATGGGATTCAAATATATGCATTTTTAAAGCCTGCAAAAGTGGTCGTTACATGTAGCCATGGTTGAGAAGCAATGATCCAGTTTTATGCCCACAATTCACAGATAGGGAAACTTAGGACCATGAAGATAAAAGCTGGCAAGCACAAGAGTAGATCCAGGGATTCTGACTGTCCAGCTATTAGCTAAACAAGATGCTCCCTATTTGATCAAAAAGCCCAGAATACTTTCTGAAGAGAGTGATAGTGATTATTCAAAGCCTCAAATAACAATAGCTTCCCTTAGCCTCACTGTTTGAAACACAATTACTAAGCTCTAGTGTCACCCGGGTTGGTGGAACTCCGATTTAGACGTAAATCCAGGTTGATACGATACAGGGAGAGCGCATGCATGCGATTTTCTGTGACACAGGACTTCTGTGCTGAGAACAGGCTAGAAAGGAGCATACCTCTCAAAATCAGGTTTTGGATGTACTTATTGATTACTTTTTGCCCTGAGGTCAGGAATAAAAATGTTGACCTTCAGGGGTTCTATGTTTCTTACACATTCATTGCTTAGGCGTCCCACACAAAAACCACTGGGGCAAGTCGGATGGCAAATTTGGGAACTGAGCACTTAATGATTCAGCCATGAAATTTATTTGTATCTATACTGCTCTTCATTTTTCAAAATCCTTTCATATTTACTTAAATTTTTATCCATCTGCAATAAGTTGTTCAAAGTACTGTTCTAAAATTTTATTCAGTTTTTATAACTAGGGTTGGATTGTAGTTTCCCTGTTTCAGACAGGTAATTTAGATTCAGAGAAGTGAAAGCTTTTCTCAAAGTCACAGTGAAAAGCAGAGAAATGAACAGAAAAGAATTTCAGTCTTCTGACATTTTTATTAGATAGTCTGATGTTCTGAATTAACGTATGTCTCAAAATTGTCCCTTATTTACCCAAACTCCCTCATTTCAGCATCTCAGAGATTCTCGACAAAGTGCAAGAAGATGCAGAAGATGTCCTCTTCAGTCTGGGCTTTTGCCAAGAGGATGACAAAGACACTTCTCGGATACCTGCCCGATTTTTCACCACCCCCTCTCAGGCCAAAGGCATTGATTTCCAGCTCTTCCTGAAGTCCCAGGTGCGGAGGATTGAAATGGAAGACCCCTGCCTCATGCTGGCCAGTGAGTGTCCCTCCCAGACACCTGCTCTATTTCCCTTACCCTTTAGGACTCAGTGGCTTCAAATTCTGCTTTCTCTTGGTTAGCTTTGACCCTTTGCCTATTGTGTCTATTTCCTCTTATGTTGTCTTCAGTGAAGATGGAGAACTCTGTCTGATTCTTTCTCTTAAAGAAATAGCCTTCAAGAGACTTCAGGCCATTACTGCTTCCTTTAGGCCTTCTTGCCTTTTGGTGAATCGTATCAGCATGATGTCTATAAACCTTATCCCTCTTTTTTATTTCCCAGTTGGAATATCTCCATGGAATGGGGTGTCAAGAAATCATGAAATTCAAGAAAAAGAACCCTGGGTGTTAGAAATCTAAAAGGGAGAAACACTAGTAGGAAAATTGGAAGCTTCTCCTTGAATTTTGAGCTTTGGGGAGCCTTCTGAAGGGAGAGATTTAAGAAAATTTGCTGTTGAACCCCAGACTCACCATCTTTAACTCTTTTACCCAGGCAGGTTTAAGCAGGTGCAAACACTGGCTGTCACAGCTGATGCCTTCTTCTGTCTCTACTCCTACGTGTCTAAGACACCCGTCCAAAAGTTCACACCATCCCACATGTTCTGGAATTGCAACCATCCAACTGATGTGCCATCCATCAGGATTCTGTCCCGAGAGCCTGAACCCCACTCACCCAGAGACCGCCTTCGGAAAGCCATCTCCAAGATGTGTCTGTACACATGCCCCCGAGATCGGCCACCACCACCCCACAACACCCCCAGAAAGAACAGTTTGGACGAAGTTGTGTTGGAAGTGATGGACAAAGTGAAAGAAGAGAAGCAGGTCCTCCAGCAAGACTCTGATTTGGGACAATTCTCACAGGAAGATCCTGTGCCCCCTGTTGAGGGTGAAAAGCTGTCCACTTCTCCCTATCCATGTGTCCTCTGCTGCAAAGAGGAAACACAGCAGGGGATGTCCACAGTGCTAGCACCATCGCAAACTCTGGATTCGAACCCCAAGGTACCCTGTTGCACACATTCTCTGCCCATAGAAGATCCACAGTGGAGCACAGACCCAGCTCAGATAAGGAGAGAGCTGTGTAGTCTACCAGCCACCAATACAGAAACCCATCCAGCCAAGGATGAGACTTTCTGGAAAAGAAAGAGCAGAGCAAGAAAGAGCCTGTTCCAGAAGAATCTCATGGGCAGGAAGGTTAAGTCCTTGGACCTGTCCATCACCCAGCAGAAATGGAAGCAGAGTGTAGACAGACCAGAACTGCGTCGGTCTTTAAGCCAGCAGCCACAGGACACTTTTGACTCGGAGGAGGTAAGTGGGTTGGAGGTGAGGGAGAGACTGGCAGAGAAAGGCTGTAGATTCTTTCCCAGAAGATGAAGGGTTAGGACCCTTGGGGGAAAAAAAACCCAGGCTTCCTGTCCTAGCCAGATATATACTTTCTGATTTGAATTCAGGTTTAATATACAGGGAGAAAGAGAAAGAGGCCTGGTTTCCTAAGAACAGTCAAGTTTTCAGAGCTCCTTTGGTAATACTTACCTGATCTGATTGCCATTTAATGTTCTCATTAAGTACACCTGTCATTACCATTTGCTGTGGTCCTCATAAGATTACAAATGGAGAGCAGTTTTACACAAAGCTAACCACTCTTAAATAAAATAAATTCTCCCTTACCTTGACAAATATCTAACCATAAAGACCTAGAAGTCCAGATTTCAATCTAGGATTCTCAGACTCTTAGGACTTCTGTGCTAGAACGTGACAGTGTGAGCAGAACCACTCCCCAGCTCCTGACCTGTCCCCTTCTCTTCCCATGCCCAGACCTGTCCTATACCATCAGGGACCTTGCATGCCCATGTTTGGTCACCCGAGCCTGCACATCCAAATGCCACAAGCTCCCACCTACACAAACAGCCATCAGTCATCATTTGGGCCTAGGTTGCATACAATACTGGAGAGGTCAGCCCTTGAGAGAACAGTCATCAGTCAAAACCAGCGCACGTTCCTGCAACTGGCTTGGGGCCATTTGACCAGCAAACCTTGTGATTCTGGGTAACCAAAGAATGTTCTAAAACAAATAGTGCAGGACACATGGGCACATTATGTAAGTCCACCAACTCTTTACATTGTCTAAGTCCACCAACTCTTCCGACCCTCTAAAACTCAGAACTCCTCTTGCCTGGGTCTATGGAAGGTACTTCCATGAAGTATTGGGATCTCTTTAAAAAGCTTTTAAATCCTTGCCACAAAAGAAGCCGTGATTATTTGAAATATCATTTGCATGTATGTCACATCTCCTTGAATGTAGAGCCACACCTCAGCTCCTGCCTTCCTCATTACTGTGTCTCTGACACCACAGAAGAGGGTGTCTCTCAAATACACTCAGCCTCCTTCCCCTACAGCTACCTGCCACCTGCACCTTTCCTTACCCCCTTTCCCCCTTGGCTCTGGCTGAGTTCTGTGGGATCTTGGTTACAGGTGCAAAGCAACAGTGAAGAGGAGGAGAGTCAGAGTCGCTGGCCCAGCAGACCCAGGCACCCGCCCCACCACCAGACTTTTGCTGGCAAAGACTCGTGAAGTAAGTGGGCGTCTCTCAGGCAGTTCTCAAACCTGGCTGCACGTTGTAATCAAATGAGGAAGATTAAAAAAAAAAAAAAACCTATAATAAAGGGTCCCACATCCTGTGGTTCTGATTAAATTGGAAACCAATGACTAATTATTTTAAGCTTCCAGGTGATTCTATTATGGCTGGAAAATACTTCTCTAGATCAATAATGCTCAGGCTTTGGCAGCCACCACAATCACATGGAGGGCTTGTTAAAATACAAATGACCGGATCCCAACTCCCAGAGTGTCTGATTGAGTTGGCCTGGATAGAACCAAAGAATTTGCATTTCTAAGAAGTTCTCAGGTGATGCTATTGCTGCTGGCCTGGTAATCACAGTCTGAGAAATGCTGTTCCTGAGACATTGTGTAGAACTTTAATATTCAAAATGTAGTCTACAGATACAAGCAGCATCAGCATCCCCTGGGATTTTGTTAGAAATGTGGACTGTCAGCCCCTACCCCAGACCTAATGAATCACAGTTTTACCAGGATCTTTAGGTTAGATAATTCATTGCATATTGAAGTTTGAAACGCATTGTAGTAGAAGTTTTGTAACAGGTGAGGACCAGCCATGGCAATCAATATCCCAACACCTGCTTTCAGCTATGTTCTAATCAGCCCACATCATTGGACTCGGCAGACTCTTCAATGTACCTCCCAGTCGTGCTCATTTAGGGTCTGATCTCCTTTCTGCAACTACGGTCTGATGAGCATAGCTCTCCCTCCCCTTGTCAAAGCAGGAAATGAATTTCACACTGTTATTTATTGCAGCTAAAATTTCTTTCCTCCAGATATGAGTTTTTCAGTATTAATTTTCTTTCAGAGGTATCTCTTATACCTTTCAATAGTTTGACCAGTAATTTATTATTTAAACTAATGACAATTAGTCTTCCTGTAGTTTTAACCACCCATCTACTACAACCACAAAGAAAATGATATAAGGGATAATGGTATTTTCCCCAGATAGTATAAATTAAAATCTTTTTTGAATTAAGTAAATAAATCTTGCTTAGAGATTCCTTTGTTTTGGATATCTGGGTACCATTTTCTGCATTTTCTAGTCCAATTGTTTTCTTGGTTAATACTCCAAAATATCAGTGGTACTTGCTCAGACACACAAATATATTTACAACTCTAACTGTTGTAATTCTAATTTTCTGTGGTTTTAGGAATCTAAAACTCTTCTTTCTCTCTTACCTACTACCAACATCTCAGGGTATATGAATCATATGTATATACTTAGTCACCCACAAAAGAGGTAAATAGCAGAAGGCATCAATATGTCATACGCACTTCAGGAAGTTTCAGATGGTTTCAGTTGCTGGTTTGGCACGTCAGGAGTTGGAAGTGGTCACTCTGCCCAAACAATAAGTAAAAAGCTGAACAGACTGAAAAATTAGTAACCGTTCTAGACCCATCAGAGAAGTGGGTCACAGGGCAAACCACTTCCCCTCAAATTAGAGAATGGGCAAATACAAAGATTTATGACTTATTGGAGCAAAAACTGCAAAGCATAAACTCCCCCAGCAATCAGAACCACAGTAGAGAATCCGGACAATAACCGAGGAATTACTGGATGCTCAGCATGGACCAGTCTGAGAAATAAAAACTCTAGGGAGACCCAGTCATTGGGAGGCCCCTTATTTCTGGGAGTCTTACTTCTAGGAGCTCAACTAGGTTCTCACAGGAAATACAGGAGAAAAATCCCCTAGTGTTTCCAACAGGGGACAGGAGAAAGGAACCATTTTGAAATGCACCAGAGCATTCTACCCCTCTTAACAAAGTCTTCCCTCGGGAGAAATTAGATACCAAAAACCTAACCGGATGAGGTTTTATCAGAGACTAACCGACCTGAAGGAAGGGAAACATGCAACTCCAGCCTACTCTAGCCAACCCATCCCATCAAAGGGGACAGAGAGGACTGAGAAGCACAGATGAGAGTCACAATCCAGAGGCACAAGCTCACTGGAAGACTCAGACCTAACCCTAAGACCATGAAACACTTCCTTTCTCCCTAAACCTTACCACCACATTACTAAAAGCCTATTTACATCAATTTCTTTTACTCAGTACATCGTGTCTAGTTATTAAAAAAAAAAAAAGACATAGTAAAAGGCAAAAACAGGTTGAAGAAACAGACAAAACATTAAAACCAGTCTCAGATATGACAGGGATGTTAGGATTAGCAAACTGGAAATTTAAAACAACTCAAATGATACGGATTCTAATGGATAAAGTAGTCTGTGTGTAAGAACAGATGAGCAGAGAGATGGAAATCCTTAGAATAAAAAATAAATGCTAGAGATAAAAAATGGTGTCACAGAAATGAAGAATGCCTTTGATAGGCTTATTGGTGGACTGGACATGGCTGAGGAAAGAATCTCTGAGCTTGAGACTATAGCTATAAAAACCACCAAAACTTAAAAGCTAAGAGAAGAAGACTGAAAAAAAATAGAAGAGAATATCCAAGAAAGGGGACAGTTACAAAAGGTGTAACATATGCATAATGGAAATTCCAGAAGAACAAGAAAGAGAGAAAGGAATAAAAGAAATATTTGAAACAATAATAATTAAGAATTTCCCCCAAATGAATGTCAGATACCAAACCACAGATCCAGAAAGCTCAGAGAACACTGAAAAGAATAAAGACAAAAAAAAACCCAAAAATCTACACCTAAGCATGTAACTTTTAAACTACAGAAAATCAAAAATAAAGGGAAAAATCATAAAAGAAGACAGAAGGAAAAAACACATTACCTATAAAAGAAGAAAGATAAAAATTACATGCAAATTCTCAGAAAATGTGTAGTGTATACCCCACAAGTAGGTTCTTGCCAAGAACTGAATATACTCTAAAATGCAGCACTTTGCTTAAGTGTCGTTTGTCCAGCAGATGTCAGGCTTGCACAAGAAAAATGCCAAGATGTTCCACAAAGCAGGCTGTGTGCAGGATTTATATGGTTATACACTTCTGGGCAATCTATGCAACGCCCAGAACGCAAGTTCCTCTCACAAACCTGTCCCAACTTTGTCTAAAGGTTAGTATTTTAAAATATCAGAATTGAATTGCTAGGGAGAAAGTATTGCTAGGAGTCACACATTTCCAGTACCTAACTAGATTCCATTTTCTGCCTGTGATGGGGCTTCATTACAGCTGGAGAGGTAATGGTTTAAAATGCTGTATTTTATTGATTCTAAGGCACACATTTTTCCACATTTTAACATCTCTGAAATTAGGTTGTGCCTTAAAATTCATAGTGTCAGCCAATTTAGTTGTCTTTATTTGCCTCCTTAAGTGAAAATGTAAAATAATTACGAGTCTTACAAAAGATAGTTTATCATAATCAATGAAATAGAATAAATTTATAAATTAAATACACTTTTTCTCTCAAGTAAGTTAGGAAGATATTTTGTAGAATTTTTTTCTATAATTACCTGGAAAAATAAGAGATCTCTTCTTTCCTGACACAGTCTTTGGCTGAGGAAGGGGTCACAGTAGTTCCCAAATTTTTCCAATGTCCTGTACATTTGTTTAGCCGTCTTTTCACAAAGCTATAACCTATTTCTCTCAATCCACTCCTCTATTACCCTTTAAGAAATCTCAAGAAGAGGGGAGAGCTATAGCAACAGCTCAGTACTGCCAATATTAAAGCCTGTGTGATAAATATGGAAGGGGGAAGTTCACTCACCACAATCAAAGGCAGAGCTAAGTGGGATAATTTTTTCAGTTCTGCTGGGAAATAGTCCCACTTCTCCCTTGTTTAGAGTCTGTAATTATTTCCTGGAGATTAATGATCTTCCATTATAATGTCGTTTCAAGTCCCAGGTATTAACTACTACTTGTTAGTAGTGGATAGGAAGTGGTAGCAGCACTCAGCCAGCCACCGTGTAGCATTGTGCAGCCCGTGCATTGCCCAGAGACACCCAGCTGAGCAGGCAAATGGGAATTAGAATCCCGCCCTACTGAGCTTGCCATCCAAAAACTCTAGGGCTTTCATCTTCTAAGAGCGAGATCCAATTTTTTCTAATTCGTTCACATAACGTGAGTCCCTTTCTGTAATTAGCACAAGGGTACTGCTGTGGTTTGAATGAATCCTGCAAAGTTGATATATTGGAACCTCAATCCCCAATGCAGTGCTGAGAGGTCAAACCTTTGAGAGGTGATTGGGTCATGAGGGCTCTGTCCTCGTAAATGGATTAATGTCACTATTAATCCATGTGGGAGAGGATTCGTTATCTCAAGTGAGCTTTTTATAAAACCAAGTTTGGCTGTGTCTTGTTTCTTGCTCTCTCGTGCTCTTCCCCCTCCATCTTCCACCATAGGATGATGCTACAAGGAGGCCCTCACCAGATACGGGCTTTTAACCTTGGATTTGCCGGCTTCCAGAATTGTAAGAAATACATTTCTCTCCTTTAAAAATTGCCGTATCTGTGGCATTGTTATGGCAACATGAAATGAAGTCAAACAGGCACCTTTTCTATTGAAAGAGGACCTTGACTCCCAGCCAACAGCTTTCTTCACTTGCCACCTTCTCATTTAGTGTCTGCTTGGAAAGAGGTTTTAATCTTCCTCCAAGTTCCTGAGGAAGGATGACCCACACCTTTCCTCATGATTTCCACCATGCTCAAAAATGTCAAATTCACAGCTCTTTCTACTGGTTTCCTGTGTTGACATTTAAACCACTTGACCTTTATCATGCTTATAAGAGGCAGAGTCAAGGAGAAAGTTTTTACATTTTGTTGTTCTTTTTGTTTCTTTTACCAGATCTGAGGTAGCACAGGCCAATATTTATTCTCTTTGTGAAGTGACCATATCTAGAGGTGGAAGCTCATTTTTTTGGTCAACCCTGCTGGTGACAGCAGAAGAGACAGGAGGGACTGGGGGGAATGTTCATTCAGAGCACAAGACAAATAAGAAAACTAGTTTGAGATACTCCCAAATGGTGGGTAACTCAAAACACTATCTGTTTT